ATAGATAGATAGATAGATAGATAGATAGATAGATAGATAGATAGATAGATAGATAGATAGATGTATATATCAGCATAGGGACAGACTTCAACTTAATAGAATGTCATTGAGATTCTTTGTATCTTTCTTGTGAAAACACAAACCTGTTTCAATAACGGTCCAATTGATTAAAAACTGAAATGCATTTCGATCCATATGATGAGGACAAAATGAGAGCCACATCTCAGGCAACAATTCCTAATTTTGAATGCATTACTCCAATCTCATCTCTTCTCATTTTAATTGGAAGCTGTTAGGAATACATGCCAACACAAAATAATATTGACTTTGCATTGAAGACTCAAGAGAAAAGGCTTTGTCATTGTAAAATAATTAGCTCAGAGTTGCATAAATAAAGGTCCCATGGAAACTTTTGCCATTGCAATCTCCTTAAATAAATTTCTTTCTGAATGCTTTTTTCCCCATTACATATTTATAAAGAAAAACTGAAGTGAAGGTAGAAACACCCAGTTCATGGGTGAAAAAAAAATGTAAGCAAGTATTCAACTTTGGTTTGGGTACCTGACATGAACTCATTTTGTGCAAGTTGATATAATTTATGCTTTGTGGCCCTGACACAAAGAATCAATAATTTGTTCTAAGAGCTGACTAATTACAAAGATCATCTGACATGAGACAAGCAAATGGCACTGAATATGTCAGTGATGACTTCATCTCCCTTTGGGAATTAATGTAGCTTGTGATATTTGTCTTAATTGAAGAGGGAAGTCTCTTAACATGAAAATAAGTGGCAGGCACTTTGGTCTCAAAACAACCCTAAGATCAGCACCATCAATATTTAGATGTTCTTTTGTATATAATCTTTCTTTTTTGCTCATATATGCTTCAGTGAAATAAAAAGGAAGGCATAAAATGATCTGAACTTGGAATTTTTAAACCTTATCATTAAATATTATTTCAAATTCTTTATTCTTCAATAATTTTGATACCTGATCCATTATATTAATCCATACATTAGGAAATGGAAATGGTAGGCAAATGAGCTATTACTAAAGAAAACATGTTTATGTTTTATTTCCTTTGAGAGACAGTAAATTTCTTCTCATGAAAATATTGCAGAAGAATAGCCTATTGTTGTGGAATTCTTGATGTCAAAGGTTTTGTTTTCCTAATGTTTTATCTGTAATTTGCTAAAGTATATTTTCAACCTTTAAAATGGTTCCTTTCCATAATAGTACTGACCCCAAGAGTTGTTGTGAGACTCAAATAAAATAATTTTATGTAAAGCAATTTGCAAATCTAAAGCATTTCATAAATGTGAGGTATTTTATTTTTATTAGTTTTTGATGCTAAATCAGTAATTATAAGACTTTCCTCTGCATTTTATAAATGTTATATCCATAATATTAATTTTTGCATATGTGATCTTATTTTCAGTTTCTATCCTCTAATGCACAAACTAATTCGGATAGTAATAATAACTTACATTTATCTAACACTTGAAAGTATGCATACACTTTCTCTAACTTCTTTCTCTCATTTAAGCCTCATAATCCTGTGAAGCAGAGACCATATATATCATTATGCCCATTTTATAGACAAGAAAACTGAGGTTCAGAGAGGTTAGATGACTTCCACATCATCATGCAAGCTAGTGTATGTCTGAAGCTAGATTTGAATCATAATATTGTCTCTCTGGAACCAAGAATAAATCTAATGTACTGTTCCAAAATCAAATAGGGCCAAATGACTCAATCAATCTCGTTCCCCAAGACCAGTCTCCAAAATTCTACAGGCCTGTTATTTCTAGTTCTTTAGATGCTACATATGCAGATCATTCAAATGCGACCCAGTCAATCTTTCAGGAATGTTCATGATTTTACAATCCTAATTTAAATGACCTTACTCTTTCCAGAAATCTGGTTTCAGTATACATAAATTGTAATTATCTCAAGTAGAAAATACAAAAGTAAAACAAAATAAATTCTAAAAGGTCAGTAATATATCATGAAATGTAACAAAAACTAAAAGAAATTCACAAAGGCAACAGCTGTGCTATCACCATTTTCTCAGAAAAGTTAAGTACAATGGTAGGCAAATAATAGCCAACAGCAGCCACTTAACTGATATGCATAAAATCAAATTTAATCTGGTAAAGTAAAATTTTCATTATGTTATAGTTCCTATATCATATTACTATGTTATAGCATATATATAACTATATTATATATAATATATTATATGTCATAATATATAATATATTACTATATATACTATACACAATATAGAAGGGAGAGGAGTAGGAAGAGGGACAAGAGGAGGCGGAGGAGGAGAGAAATCCAAATCATGTAATATCTGAGTTGGAAAGAACCTCAAAGACCATCTAATCCAACTCATGCTTGAGCAAAAATCTCCTCCTAATATACCCAACAAGTGATCATCTAGCCTTGAAGTCCTCCAGTGAATAGGAAAGCTTTACCTCCTGAGGAAGCCTGTTCTATTTTTAGATATCTCTAATAGTTGTTAAGAAGGCTTTTTTTTTTTCAATCTGCAATTTCTGCCTGTTGTGCTCAGTTCTGCCCTCTAGAATCAAGTGGAGCAAGAGTAATCCTTCTTCTAAATGACAATCTTTAAAATATTTGAATATAACTATTTTGTTTACCATAAATCTTCTCTTTTCTAGGCTAAACACCTACAATCCTTCAACCAACCATCATGTCTTGTCCTTGTCTAAATACTCTCTACCAATGTTCTTCTTAAAATATAGTGCCTAGAACTGAACATAATAGTCTAGATATGATCTGACCAGGTCAGAGTACAATGAGACTCACTTTATTCTTTCTGGATTCTAGGCCTCTCTTAATACAGTATATATTTGCTTTTTGACCATCATATTACATTTTGGACTCATATTGAGTTTGAAGTCCACTCAAACCTCCAGATCTTTTTCAGAGTAACTATTGTCTAGTTAAACTTTTCCTTTTTTCGAACCCATATTTAAGATTTTACATTTATCCCTTTTAAATTTTGTCTTATTAGATTTTACCAATGGTTAGCAAAGAAGCATCAGCAACTGTTGTCTTTTAATCCTAATTTTTTAAAAGACTTCTTCTAGTTGAGAGGAAGGAAAGTCAGAAGAATGTAGGGGTAAAGAAAGATATTGGAAAGAGAAGATTGTTATAAAGAGCCATGTTACCACCTCTAGTGCCTTCTGGTCTTAGATATTGCAAACACAAACTTCCATTTCTTAAAACTAAAACTGATATTTTTCTAAATGGCATATTAAAGATTTTTCTCTATTTCTTTTTATTTCATAGATGGTTATGTCCTTCGGAGCTGTTTGGTGGACAAGTAAGTAAAAATTATCTTTCAGTGCTATATCTTGTTGCAAGAAAGAAATAATTTTGTGACTTTTGCCAGTTTTTCTTGTGTTAAGTGGAATAACAACTGTTACATAAATGTGAAAAGTATTATATTCTACATATTAATGATAGTAATTGTGATTATAATTTAGGTTTTCAAAAGATGCAATTATTACAGTAGCTGTACTTTCTGCTAGTTAATATTGCAAACCCACAGGTCATAGCCACAGTTTCTCTTATTAATACTGTATGGTTTTGTTCCTAACTTATTCAACTAAATTAATCAATTGAGCAAGGAGCGATTTCTCTCCTGTAAAATGAGAAGAGTTTGGATTAGATGGTCTTTAAAATTCCTTGTAATTTTATGCTGTGTGATCTTGCACTAGTCACTTATCCTATCAGTGGCTCGGGCAACTAATTCTCTATGACTGCTGGGTGTCCCAAAAATCTTAGGACAGTTTTAAGCTTTAATATCTTATTAAGCTTGACTCGTTTAAAATTCCACTTAGACTTTCGGCTCACCCTGTATAAGTTGCAGAGCAATTGCTGATCTGCACATCTGTGTTGATGGAAGGAATTAACTCTGTAGTAATTCCTTGTGGCAATGAATTCATAGGTTTTCCCCAAGTACCCCTCACCAAAAAAAACAAAACAAAAAAAAAAACTAAAAGTCTGTGATTCTAAGTATCTATTTAATCCTAGAATCAATAGGGAATTACTACACTATAAGTGTGGGAGTAACATGGTTGCACCTTACACTTACGAAATCATTTTGGCAGCTATAAAAGATGGATTCGAGAGGGGAGAGACTTGAGGCAAGGGAATCAATCAGGAAGCTATTGCAAGATGATGAGGGAGGGCTTGAATATAGGTGGTGTCTGTTGGAGTAAAAAGAAGAGGACAAATTGAAGGAGACAAAATTGAGAACGGACAATATTTGAATATTGAACTCGGAGTGCTGGGCCGGGAGGCAGAAAGACTCATCGTCCTGAGTTCAAATCAGGCATCAGACACTTACTACCTGTGTGACCCTGAGCAAGTCGCTTCACCTGCTTGTCTCAGTTTCCTCATCTATAAAATATGGTGGAGAAGGAAATGGCAAACCACTCTAGTGTCTTTACCAAGAAAATCCCAAATGGGTTCACAAAGAGTTGGTCATGACTGAAAAACAGTTAAACAAACAAACAAAAAAAAAAAAACAGTGGTTATGTTGGAGACAAGCCCCACAGTTGGCTATCATAGTAAGAGTATGATGTAACCCACCTTCCCAGCCTCCATTTGGTTGATCACATACCCTTACAGGATCAGGCCTGGCCCTGACTTTGGGAGACTACAGAGCAATACAATAGACATTAAACTCTATTTTTTTTCTTTTTGTTTTGGTTTTTTTTTGTTTAGGCAATGGGGTTAAGTGACTTGCCCAGGGTCACACAGCTAGTAAGTGTTATGTGTCTGAGGTCACATTTGAACTCAGGTCCTCCTGAATCCAGGGCCGATGCTCTACCCACTGCACCACCCAGCTGCCCCTCTATTTTTTTTTCAACCTCCCATAAATACCCTGCAGTATTCAGTGACTTAGGAGGATTGTTGAATGCATTTGTGCACATGAGGAGAGCTTCCTGTATTTATGTCATTGCCTGCCTGAACCAATTCTTGTATTAGTCTCTGTTCCTTTCTCCTTTGGGCTAGTTGTGGGCATTCACTCATAATATTCCAGTTCAGTATGGTCTTTTGACTTGACTCTGTCCTTAATTAAGATCTGGCTTTAGGCTCCAGTGAAAGCTTGGTAAGGAGGCAGAGAAGCCCAGAAAAATCAGGATCTGAGATATTTTTACAAGGCCCCAGTGACCTCATCAGATCATCTTCCAGGAAAAGCAGAGCAGA